AGCACATAGTATGCCGGGCGGACGTCGTTGCCGCGGTCGTTCAGCACGGGGTTGTCACACAGGTTTAGGTCGCAGTCCGTGTCGGAGCCGTCGTCCCGGCATGACCAGTCCGGGTTGCCCATGGCCCACTGCCCGAAGGCGCCGGCGAACCCGGCGGAGTTGTTGTGCATCAGCGCGGTATTTTTGTTCCACCAGCTGTCCAGCCAGCCCTGCGTGTCGTAGGTGTCCCAGTCCGCCTGATGCTGGCCGTAGTACTTGGAAACGGCGCCGCAGCGTTTGTAGACGCCATGCGAGGATGAAGGGGCTCCCTGCACAGCGGGCAGGAGGGCCAGGGCCGTTAAGGCAACGGTAGGAAGCATCGTGAAGCTCGGATGAGATCTATAAGAGAATATTCAACCTCGCAGAAAGACCAGTCAGTCACTCTAGGCTGGAATAGAGATGAAGAGGATCATATCCTGTCGGGAGTATCTCTTTCTATTTATCTTCAGCGAGGAGATGTCTTCGACCCCACAGTTCACGAGATATTTGTCAAACTTACCCCTAGCAGCAAATCCATCTCACTCACGACGGCTCACGTGGGACTAAAGCGAGACACCCATAAGCAGCCCATCAGACACTGGCGTGCGACAAGGGTCCTGCTGGATCGAATCGCCTACCTCATCCGGGGCGTGTTTCGCGGGAATTAGATACTTCATCCGTAGGATCGACAGGGACTTACAATTGTTTCGGCCTAGCAGGCGCCACTAACCCGCATCCAGGGACATTAGGGATCAATGCGATAGTGAGTCCGATGAACTAAAAATATACCAAAGCCGTAGAGGTGATAATGCCTTTTATTTTTTTCCCTATGCTAAGTAGGCCAGATGATGTCCTTTGCGGAAGCTCATATGCCACTAGCCTTATTATCCACACTTGTTAGTGCTAACGTATCAGAAGCTCTTTAACGAAGTAATTCAGTAATCTATATAAAAATAGACGGCTGAGATAATTCCTACACTCCAATTTTCACCTTTGATATTACTACTCGTAATCTTATCCTTAATTAGGAAACTCGTGGTATAGTTTGACTTTACCCGCTTAGGCAAGTGATCACGAGTGTGGTCACTGGTTCGCGGTTTATGCCGGCGTAACCTAAACCTTATCTTAGTTAAGTTACATCTATAAATACCACAAAGTTCTTATCTTGAGCATGGTACTCCGTACGGCCGTTAGCTTGCTACGGCTGAACCGTATCCGTGCCTTCCTGCCTACCTAAATCGCTACCCGCTTTAGGTACGCCACTGACGTAATTCCCGCCCAAGTGAAACACCCCACTAGAAATCGCGCGTTCTTACCACTTACCTACTTTAACCATCTACTATGCCACCAAAACGCACTGAATCCTTGCAAAAAGCAACCGAGCAAGAGGGAAGGGTTCTATTAGCCCTACAAGCCTTTTAAAATAGTTAATTCAAATCAATTCGCGTAGCTACGAAGCAATTTAGTATATCTTATGTTACCTTATCTCGACGGGCGAATAGCCTACCTTTACGCGTCGATACACGCCTAAATAGCTGCAAACTAATCTAATTAACTACAAGAGGATTAGCTTACTAAATATATTCTCTCTACAGATACGCGTAGAGTAGCGCCTAGGCTAGCTACTATAGGAGAGATAGCTGATATCCTACTAGCTACGCGCAATAGCTAACCTCCGCCTACCGTTAGCAAGAATTAGCTATCAAAATTTATTTAACATCACGATAAGCTTCGTATACGCTACTCGGTGCGATACGACTACTAACGCGCATTAAACGAAGACCTAAAAGCCCTATAAGCCTAGTTCACGAACGTACAAAGCGTAATTAACGAGAATAGGATATAAGCAGAGGATATCTATAACTTTAATAAGATAGGCTTTGCTGAGATGGTAAATCAGGCTGCTGAATATGTAGATGAAGTAATCTTCTTGCTCTTTTTGCCTTGGCTTGTACTAGTCAATTCACGCTCCACAAAATGTCGCGCTTAAGAGATTACATATAGGTAACCACTGACGAGGCTGATGACGACAGCTGGGATCTTGTGATGAGGGAATAGTTGCACGCTGCTGAGGGTCTGCCGTAACGGTAATTCCACTAAGTTTCACTGCCATTTCTTCACCAAGAGGGTCTTTCTCGCACCCAATAAGATAAGTCGTCGGGTGTCTCGCCAGCTCTTTATGGAACAGGACTGAATAGAATGGATCTCATCATGACGTAACTAGACCACACACGTAAAACCAATGTCAGTTCATCTTAGAGCAAGTAGGATGTCGTCAATTCTCACCCCGAAAAGTCTCCATAGCTGGTGGGTCAATCATAGATGAGTCTGCATTGTTTTCCAGGAATCTTTTGAATCGTTTCTTGAAGTCAGCACGGACGATAGAGAGGTCTATAGTAATAGGTGCGATCCTCACAAGACGCTTATTGATGCTCGGTTCTTCCCATCCGAGGGCTCTCAATGCCGTTGCAATCGCCAGGTTGGCTCCTGCGGAGCCTCCAATAGAGTAGGATCGTCTCGTTTGTCCCCGTGAAAGATGTACGCCTTGTCTACAGCCTGTCCATTGAAAGTAAAGTTAGCGCTGTATTCACCGAGGAGCCTCAAGAGGTTGAAGACATACCCACTTTTAAGCAGCCTCACAGTCATCATTTCAATACCGGTATCAGTGAGTGGTTTAATCAATCTTCAAGTAGTTCTTCGCTGTGCTGAAACCTTTGTTCCGGTGCTAGTCTGTAGTTCACTGAAACAAGTACAGTCGGCACGGAACCATATAGGGCCCGGCATAATACTGTGATCGACTTCTCAGCTTTCCTCACTTTACGGAGCATCATGATACATAGTCCTCGCTCTCGAGATCACCCAGTGCCCATCCTCTGCCACAGAAACGTTAAGACTATGTCAGGCAAATTCCTAAAGGATAGGAAATACTGACCTTGGGTCGTCAACGTACTATATACTAACTGGAAATATATTCTCTCTCAGCTGAGGTTGATAATACGCGCACTTGAATGCTGGAGGAAATTTGGTAGCCCTCTGCGTCCAACGGTTCAAGTATTAATGGCCTGGATGACGATCACAAAGATATGGCGAAACATGGCCTCACCCACCTGTAATAACATTTCCGCCACCGGTTAGGCAAAGGGTTTGACGATTTTGAGGATTTCCCGCGGCCTACTATATTGCCTCCGGATATTAACGTTATTCCCGCCCATGCGGAACACCGAAACCCCACTTCAATGTCTAACATATTGCTTATGCCGGGTTTAGAACAGTCTTGTATCTATGGCTTAAGGGAGGCCCGATGATGAAAGCACTGTACATGATTCAATGAGCCCACTGGGTTCATTTACCTTAAATTTCCGGCTTTGAGAAATGTTACGTAGCAAGTTCATTACGATCACGTTCTTAGGTGGAGTTGGATTCGCGGTAGGATGATTCTTACTGGCATATTGTCTATGTGTAGAGCAATATTTCGGAACCCACTTCTTTTGCTAGGGCAAAAGCCTGGCCTAAAACAAAGCCCAATTTCAATCACATAGGACTCATACAATTTGGGTCATGGGAGCTTGTGGATACGCTCTCATATTTACACTGCCACTTTGACGCTATATAGCTAGCTCTACAGCGCACTAACCACAAAATGTTTAGCATCTCGTACTGACGGTCCTATAAGGAAGGCATCCAAGACACAGGCAGCAACAGAGTCCTGCAGCCCAGATACTGGGATGTGTCAGCTTGTATCTTGATTTAAGGGTCTAGTCTTTCTGAGTGGTGCTTTAATTCATAACAACCACTATGGGCCGCTCTCAATGGAACCTAATAGCAATCAAGCATCAGCCACCAGAGGAGGATGCTAGACCGAGCGTAGAGACATAGTTGGGCCCACATTAGATACTTGTGGTTCATAGACCTCAGCATTCTTTATGTCAGATTCAGGCTTTAGTTTGCACATAAATTTAATTTGACAGTTATTAGGAGGCACTTAAACACGAATCCACAAGGCAGCACCTCGGCAATAGCGGCTTTATGCATCCCGGGTCCTCTCTGCTAAATACTATAATTAGAAAACGTGCGGAGTGACAGGATAATGGTATAATACACAGAACGGAAAAATAACTCGGAAATATGGCACTGTTACGGCCATGTTAGCCTTGCATAAGCGTGGCAGACTGTCTAAATGTCATGTTTTATACCAATTTCTATTAATACGGCTTTACGGCCGTAGTAGCATTGCATCCCATTGTTTTTCAATGACGCCACACGACTTCTTCCGAGTATCAAGAAGCCATTTAATGTTGAGAATTTTCAATACCGGTATCAGTGAGTGGTTTAATCAGTCTTCAAGTAGTTCTTCGCTATGCTGAAGCCTTGTGTATATACTATCATTTTGTTCTCCATGAATCCGGAACGCAACGGCCCAGAAATGCCATCAAGCAGTTACGGCCGTTGTAACCATAATCGCAACGGAGGGTATATATATTTAGAAAGTGGTCATTGTTGTCTTTAATTTTCATGACTTAAGCGTTCGTGGATCTCTTCAAATAGACCTGCTGGCCTTTGTGTGTCTCAGCTCATATTAGCAAGCTATCCAGGGCCTTGCACATCTCGGAGGGTTTATTCCTCAGTTTCTGATCTTGTGCACACAAATACAAAAGCAATGTTTGTTCCACTTCGCCCTCCGTCCAAGCACAGGCAGGGACGTTGGTACGGTGGACGAACGGCGGCGCACAATGTGAGTTCAAGGGTCTTGGCTAGCATTCAATGCCCACAGATTTGAAGCTTATTCGTCATTCATGATTTGCTTATAGTTATTGCGCGATAACTTCAATATCTCAACTTGGCTTCTTCTCGGTGCCGCAGCCCAAAGCTTTGTTTATATTGTATTGCCTTTTAGATATGCGGCCTGCCCTGCCGCGGTGATATTATTATGGGGATTATTAGAGACGCTCTTAACTTCTCTCAAATTGAGAAAAAATCAACAAATGAAAGATGTTGTTTTTGGGAAGTTCTCTGCCCAGATTCCCGATCGGCAGGGCCATTTCCCTGACAAAGCCGCTGGTCACGAAGTCGTTTTGATTCTTCTCTCCGCTCGCTCCAATCAGTACGTTTAATTATTTTTATCTTGAGAATGAGAAAAATCCGGCTAATCTGAAATCGATCCCAGCCCCCTGGGTATCTTTGGCCCGGGTTATCAACAGGTTGGCGACTACATGACCAAGATGCAGAACCACCTCTCAAAGAATGCTGATAAGTTTGGATGTCAGTATGAATTCCCTCCTAATCAGCGATGCGCTAAGATTTTATTAGACCTGGGCCACACTACCTGGATCGAGGCAAATGGACGGACCACGGCAAACGCCGTGATGACCGCTACTTATTTCCGGACTGTGGAGGAACTCCACAAATTCGCGCATAGCCCACTCCATAAAAAGGTCTGGAGGTGGTGGAACAGCATTGCAAAAACACATCCTCATCTCAGCATCAACCATGAGATGTATCATGCACCCGAAGACTGTTGGGAAACCATATATGCTAATTGCCATCCTGTTGGCATGGGTAAGTACCTCCATCCCTAAATGTGAATCAACGGATACTATAACTTTTCCGTTCTGTTTCTCTAGCTGCGACTGAAACTAAGGTAATGGTAACCGACGATCCTGTTGAACCGGAGTATCGGTGGGTAGGCTCCATGGTTGATGCATCTCGAGGTAGGATGAGAACACAATATGGGCGGATGAATAGGACAGATGGCTCGGAAAACTCAAAAGAAATTGGATTTGATCCATATGAAGCGCCGGTGACGCCTGCATAACGATGAAATTGTTTGAGTTATGCCACCGCTGTGATCTCTTAGTCCATAATGCCTTAAAGGACCCTACCCTGGGTCCGAATTCTCTACGCACGCATTGGCCCTTGATCCCTACTGGCCCGACCTACCTGCATGCTACTTGGACGGAACCGTGACGCGATTGTGACGTGTCCGCTCTTGTACTTGATCATCTGACAAATGCACCATATCAATTTGAAATAACCAAAATCGCATTTATGTACTTCGAATTCAATCACTTGTATCACCTCTCTCTTATATAGTCTGAGGTCAGTTCAATGCTAGCGAGACAACGAATGGGCCGCTGATCCACTACAGCGATCATCCTTCTCCGTCCTGAAGCCTCATCTGATCAGTAATAGGAGTTGGGAAGGAGCGACTTTGTTATCTTCCAGAATATAAGGTGCCGATTTGCAAGCCCTGTGAGCGTGCTGTGGCACCTACCCATCTCCACACCCATCTCAAAAGTTACTGTAAGGAATGGCCGGGCGATGAATGTCTTACCGCGATGTCTCGGCTACAAGAACGACTAAGGCAGATTTCTTTAGCGGATCCCCTTCAGCAATCAATATCACTTCCACCTCCGACATCATCAGCCTTACCCAGCCTACCCTTTGGAGATGAATTGGGCTGTAAGCAATGTCACTTTGTAACTCTCTCGGAGAAGGTGCAGCAACACCCGCAGACCCACCAGTCTATGCCACCCCGTCGTCCAGTTCGACCGCGAAAAACCATTGAGAGCGTAAATCAGGCACGACCGACTCACCAAACTCTCTGGGACAAGGTTCATTGTCAGCGCTTCTTTGTCTCGGGCCCCCAGAGTTGATTCTTTCGGGTGGCTCCGCCTCTTAAGCCAAGAACTAATCAAGTCGATCTCATTCGCCCCGAAGTCGATGAGCAGATCCGGCTTTGTGAGCAGAAGGAGAAACAGTACAACCAAATCATCGCCACGGACCGTGACTACATCCACGGCTATACTTCACGGAACTCGCCGCTCTCGCATATATGCCTGATCCTATACGAGAATCGATCTTGCAGCTGTAGGTGTATATAATGGACAAGAGTCCGTCAACTAAGTGAGAAGCAGCAGATGTGGATGAGCAAGGAGCAGTAAGGTCGAATTCAGAGAAAAAACTGATTCTTGGGATTGTAATGCGCAACTCCCCAGGGCTATTTAAAATGACCGAAACATAATAGACCCGAGTGAGCTTCACCACCGAATCGCCCTTAGCTGAACTAGCTTGCAGACACGCGCTGCACCTTCGTCATGGGACATGAGCTGAATGCACGTAGGATGCAGTCTGCCTATAGAGACCTGCCCGTATGAAGCAATGCCATTCACCGCAACTAAGAATCAGAGAAGACCTGTAGCTTCCCGTCGGCCTATCTTAGTCCTTTGTGAAGGCACCCCGTAACGCTGACGCTCTACCGCGTCTATCCGGAAGGCCGGGACAAGGAAAGTTAGGAATTATTTCCAGCACCGGCGGTAACCCTGATGACCCCGTTCCCGGGCGTGGAAGTGGAAGGGGCAATTATAGCATATCGGCCGCTGTGTCGTCACTAGCCAGCAGAAGATAGATCGACTAGTTTGATGGGCTATCTCCTCGCGCCAATCGAGCACAGATTCTATCGCGAGTATCACCAGACGGAGAGAATCCTTATCCGTGGAGGGGCTAACAATAGGATCCCCTCCGTTGAGGCGGGCGAGGAGCAGGTCTCGTCCCCGTAGACGCGCAGGGCATGTTGGTGGTATTCTGCAGGGGGTCCCGCCGGGCCTCTTCGTAGATTTATGCCGATGGACTACGGTCTAAGAATATTGTGATGAGCCTTAGGATTATGTCTAGAGGTAGACGTCGTTATAGAGATTATTACCCCGATGGAGAGAGGTGCGCTGATGCTATAGATGCTCCTGAGATAGGTAGCAGCGCGTGATGGTCAGGTCGCCCGTATGAAAGCCGTACCGGTGATATACAATGGCCGTTCATTAGTATTTGGAACACAGTACTTCCGCCCACCAGTTGACACTTTAGTGGGATAGGTACCATGTTCAAAATACTAACGAATGCTGACTATACGTACCCGTCCAGGAGCTAAAGCTGTAGATTCGCTACGGTACTATCTAGACGAGGCTAAGCAGACGCGGGCTCGTAGGAACGCGCTAGTTTCTGTCGTAACAGTGGTGGTGGGACCCTTGCGTGTGTTATAGCTTAGGCACGAAGACATCAAATCAACATGGTAGCATTCAACGAAGCAATTAAACATGGGAAAGGAAAGAAGGAGAGATGATGAGAGGAGATCTAAATACAAGTAGGATGCCTGTGGCAGCAAGTATTAATCCAGGCATCAAGCATCTACACATGTGAATCGTAACAGCGCACCAGTAACGGTCCCTGATGTGAGTAGGTGGAAGGTGACCCGGGAGCGAGACGGAGCTAACGTATTGCGACATCGCTGGCAGATAATTAAGTTCTGGGCAGGCTCATGAATAAGGCCGTACGCCTCGACGACGCTCTCTATAGATACTGCGGCCATTTAAAGCGAGGAGCACGAGGGAGAGTCTATCCTGTTAATTCGGGGGTAGAGATAGATTAAGCTATGTTACTTGCGGTAACTAATTGTATGATGCGAATAGGGGACGGGCTAGCCTGTGTGGGAGGGGGTTTGAGCAGGGGGAACATAGCACGTGTTACCCAAAAGACAACCCAAGTTAGCATTACGTTGATAAGGCAGGACGGATTTAGGATGAAAAAGCGCGACATGTATAGGAGAACAGTGGGATGAGGGACGGACGGACTAATCATATAGGATAGTGCGTACGGGATAGTGTCGAATGTGTCGAACTGAAGGAGTGGTCAAATACCACTGACCCATTTGGGATAGGATGTTCATCGTCCACCAAATTCCCCAAGTATTCGTGTGGTATTCGGGTTAGACTACTCGGAGTATGGTGCCGTAACACACCGAAACTAGATGATACAGACTCTCATGAGTGCTCAATCACTCCAATCATTAATCAATCAATCATCTGATTCTATTGGACATCTTGAGTACTAGCCAGTACATCAATTCCTCATCCTGACAGATAGTTCTGAAGCTATGACAGACTCCATGACGCGCATATAGGCGGGCCGGCGAAGTAATGACATAGAGCGCGATATGTATTACCACGTCGATTCGTAGTAAAGTACTTCGTACCGTTCTAGCTTGCTACTGAGGGCATGATGGCTTCCCGCCCTACCTGAATACCCCGCTCGGAAATGATAATTCTAGCGACGAGGAGGCTTAAACGGCCGTTATCCGAACCCCTAAAAATTTAACTACGGCTAGCCATCGTAGTGACCAACTGGCCACAATGGAAGAGGTGAAACTACCCCGTCGCCATGAAGACGAATAAGCCCTCTCGGTCACCTTTAGTCTCCACCGGGGCTCACGACTCTCAACCCGAGCATGCCTTGTACCTTATACACAGAAGATTGGTTGAAACTCACATATCGCCAATAGAATAATTATCAAGCCTGGTCTAACAAGCTAACATGCATCATCATATAGGCGGCGGCGACGACTGGCCGCCGATTCTTACTCAGCGGATATACATGTAACGTAATTCCCGCCCATGCGGAACACCCGGCCAAGCGGAACACCCTACCACATTAGAAAATTTCAAAATCGATGATCTCAACCAAAACGCATTAATTTAGCTAAATATAGCGATTTTTACACGTATTGATCCTGTGGCCAATCTCCCTACACCCCTACACCTAGGCGGAGCCCTAGTAGCCGGCCGATCTGCCTGAATAGGCAATTCGCCCCGCGCATTCGATTCTACCGCAGTGGCTTCTGCTGGCAAATCCAGCTGCGCAATTAGCTGCAGGCCCTCTTCAACGGACAAACCCTCTTCGCAGGGTATCTGCCTAGTTGACCGATTGCGCTTCTGTTTGATCCTCTCATTTGCAGCGCGTAGATGCGCATTATCCTGCGCTAGTAATGCGGCGCTATGCAAGGATAGATAGCTGCCCTTGATAAGTTGATAAGTTGATCCAGTACTGTTTTCAATGGACTTGGAGGGCTATTTGACCGCTACTTTAGTAGATACTTAAGCATCGAAGCTTGCTTTTGTAGCTGAACGACGGTTCTGGGTGTTTTTAGGGTGAACTGGCTAGATCTGCTGCTTGGCCAGCTGCTTGGTGGTGACGGCGTTCGTAGAGAGATATTAAGCTTATTAAGCGCTCTTTCTGCATTAACTGGTACTAGGCCACTAGCTGCGAAGCTGTTTTGGATAGTAGTTGGTTGAAAATCTTCTGGCCGCGCGCGTTGGTAGTCAATCAAGAAATCAATCTTCTCGATGTGGTTATATCCCCTACGCGTAAGATCGCTTAAAAAGAAACCGTACGCACGCTTAAGCGGCGCAAAGCACCCTACATCAAGCGGCTGTAGTAGGTGCGATGAATGTGAAGGCATACAAAGAGGGATAATATCGTTATCTGCGCAAATTCGGATGAGGTGTAAGGTGGCTACCATGGCCGTCAAGAATCAGTAGCCGAAATCGACCGCGTACACGCGAATTCGTGAAGGGGATAAAGATTCTTTCTAGCCAGCGTAAGCCAATCTTGTCAGTCGTCCAGCCGTTATCGGAGACCTCTAATCGCTAATCTCTTGGTAGGTCGTTAAACCACCCTGCGATGGCTACTTTGCCTTTAAAGATAATGCAGGGCGGTAGCGAAAAGCCATCTGCGCAGATTGCTTCGATAGCAGTAACCCATTCGCGATTTCCTGGCTGTAGAAGATGACGCCGACCGTAGTAATCTGCTCGCGTCACTACCTTCTGCGTAGATATAAGACCCATTGCAAATCCTGTCTCATCAAAGTTGTAGATATCCTCTGATTGTATACCGTTCTCTTCGATAACCCGCTGTACGGTCACAAACCACGCACGTAGTGATTTAGGGTCCTCGTTCAGGGCGCGCTTGTAGTCGTAACGCTTTGTA